GCTACACCATTGTAGCTAAAGCCGACAGTGCCCGAGTCAGCTTAAACTGAACCGTCACTATAGGGGCAATTGTTACTGGATGCTGAAATTGTCGACTCAGGGCCACCTGACCGGTCTTTCTGTTCCCAGGATGTGGTGTGGACGACCCAGTCCAGCTCCCAAAGGGCGGACCACATGGTGGCCACGGCAGGGCCGTCGGGGTACCGGCCGCCGCACCTGCAGCGGGCGGGGCCGGGCCAGCTGCGGGGCGAGCGCGCGCGCCAGCTGCACGCGGTCCAGCTGCAGGGAGGCGAGCTGTCCGGCCAGCTGCACGCGGCCCAGCTGCACCACACAGGACCACTGCAGGCCGGGCACTTGGCCGTGCACAGGAGCACCACCAGGTCCTCGGAAGGAGCTGTGGGACACTGCGGCGGCGCTTCACCCGACGGCCGTTGAAGAGTGGACTGGGCAATATTTTATACGGCTTTCAATGGCTTCTGTCCAAAACAGACTGAGATCGAAAAGGGAACATCAATAAGATGTATTCGTCACGAAAATCCCCGTCATTTTGGCGTCAAAAATTCCTGTCTGATACGTCAGGTTGACGTTTCGAACCGATCTCTGACATTATGGACATAGTGCAGCACGAGCACGATGGTCGGTTTCAACTCGCTTGACGAGGTGCGTCACCCTGGATGCAAGGTGCTTCAGGAAACATTTTTCTGAACCTAGCTATTCAAAATGAACTTCGCGGGCTGACGCGTAACCGACGAGTCTGAACCCAACATTATGTGTTCTGAAATAACAGGACCATGGTCACCAGAAAGCTCAGCTCAGCCTGGGTCGTTCCCTAAGACCCTCGCCCCACAAATTAGTAAATAACATTCTTCATTGTCTTCTCTCGACCAAAGACTGCCAGTGACCAAAAACAATTTTTTAAAAAATCTTTAAGGACATGGGTGGTGCTTGCCCAAACGTGGAATACTGACAGCCTTTCAACACAAGTGGCTCTGTATTTAGAGGTGTTTGAATATATTCTGACTGAGAGCATGGATTTTGTGCTTCTTTGGCTGTGTAAAAATACTCATTTAAAGATTTTCTTTTGTATTTTTAGATAAAGATCAATGTAATTAATTTTGACAGAAAGTGCTCATTAATTTTCCTTTGTGTCTTTTATAAAAATCTTGACATTGATAATGGTTGGGCTACAGTGAGTATCAATCAAGCAGAAATCCCCTCAATCACAATGTTGTGGTATTATTTTGGTTTTAATTATTGTGAAGTTTACAAGAAAGGTACGTAATGGCGTAATTGCTTTACATTTTGTGGCTTTACTGATAAGTCTGGCTACTGTAAAATCAGTAGAAAACAAAGACTTGGCCAATCTATTACGCTTCTCTTGCTTTGTCTGTGCGGGTGCTCTAAAACTACAGGACCCTCTTGGTTGCAAACAAGATCCCAGCTAGGAATTGAATGTCAAATACTTGTTGATTACGTTGATCAAAAGCTAATCGTGTTGGTTTCAATGGAATTATAAAATGTTTATCTCAACAAATTTTCAATATTGACGTTGAATCTACGCCTAATTTAACTTTTAATTTCTAGCTGGGGATCGTTCATTGTATCAGAACAATTTGCTTGTGTTGTGATGCAATAAAGGCAGGATATGCGTACTGTAACTTAGACAGAGAACGGCCCATGAAAATTATGAACATTTTTTGAGCAGATTCAAATACCTCAGGAGCCCTACCTGGATGTTCAATAAACATATGTAAAGTAGTTAGTGAGCTAAAAGTGTTGCCTAAATTACACCATACTGAGTAATCCTCTCTAACCTCAACAAAGTATTTTAAGGAGAAGAATAATTTAAGATGTTTAGTGAGGAAGACCAGAAAAAAAGATTTGGAGTGATGTTACATAATAATAAAGTGTTTTCAAGAGAAAATTATGACTATTGTTAACCACAGTTTTTGAACCGGCCCTGTCCCATTTTTACTTTTGGGTTTGCATTCTATTTTAAACCTTTCACCTCTCACAATTAACAACTACGTGTTGCAGACAAACAATGCCTATGTAACATCAGATCAATCAGATCCAGGCGAGTGTCAAGTTCTCATCCAATTAGTCTGACTTCTACTTTTCCTTCTCAGGTTATACATGGAGTGGACATATATACTATGTATATTAAAAGTAAATGTAAGTAGACAATAACTTAATAAAAAATTTTGAATTTAATATCACAAATTTACAGTCTATGAGTGCGTTGTTTCACAGACCGACCAAAGCTGATGAAATATAATTGTTTCGGTAAGTTCCCATGCTGGAAAGATAAGCCCACCTATGTAGTGTATAAAGCGTATACTACAAGATAGAATCAGCAATTCTTATGAAACTTGAAACATTTAAGAAAAATCATAAATGGCACATTAATATAGGAATTACCATTGCTTCCAGTCAACATATGTTTCAATATGGAAGACCACAGGTGTATTGACTGCAACACTAACACACTTAAACAAGCAGAAACAAGGTATACTGTAAGTTTCAACATTAAGTCATCAAGGGAAGAGATACATTGAAATTTTACTAAATTATGAGAAGCTGGACTCTTTTGGAAGTTTTGCAATGAAGCATGAGACTGGCATCAAAATAAGAGTCTCTCTTTCTTAACTTCATCATAAAAGTTGCCTTGCCTGCCTACTAAAAGATCAAGAAACACAATGGGAACTATACCAATATATGAAACATATGTGTGTATATGAAAATCTATACACACACTGTTCAATACATACTTGTACAAACTTTAAAAAAAAAATATGCTACATAATAATAAGGTCTGAAATAAAGTCTCACAATTAAAAAGTAATAAACCACCACTAGGTGTAATGTAATTATACAAAAAGAAACAAAACAAAAACAATTTAAGCTCTGTTGAATAGATTGTTTTGGCATTACAAATTGGTTAAGGTAAAAACTTATGAAAGCCATTGTGAGATCAATTAAAAAGTACCAAATCTTACTGTTGTTTCCTATATAAAAAGGAATACCTCTAGAAATGTTCAGGTACACAAGACACTAAAATAACAATAACATTAGTGTGTACATAAACACACACAAAATTGCAAAGTTCACAAAATTACGGTATGATTACTTACAAATAATGCTTATCTTGCTACAACTAAAAAGATCAAAACATCTACTGTTTCATAAAATTGTGAAGGATAGATAGCGCAATGAATAAAAAAAAATAATAATAACAAGCACATGATCACTGTTATGGCATGAGAACTATCACATATTGGTACCACGACTATAAGTCATGGAATGTTGCACATATGGGTTGCCAGAGAAAGGAGGCAGTGATGTGCTTGTAGATGTAGCCATTGAGTGAGCCACAGCTGCAGCAGCAACGAGTGCTGCTGACGAAACTGATTCTTGGGTAGTATGATGACTGTACAATGTTCCTTGCTGATTCAGAGGAACAAAAGTCTGAATTTGAGGTGCATGGTGGACTGTGTTGTTGATGTGGGCTGGTAACTGCGTTTGTGATGACAAGTTGTGGATTAAAGTTGGTGAATTTACGGACGTTTGCAAAGTTGATAGTTGAACAGATGACCTGGGTACTTGTTGTTGATGCTGAAACAATATTCCCCCAAATATTATGTGACAAGAAGTTTAACAATTAGTTAAAATGCATAGATATATGTACGTCTGCTTACCATTTGATGATGTACTTGAGATTGGTGAGTAAGCTGTTGTTGATGCTGAGATGTTTGTTGGTGGGTGGGATGCTGCATGGGTTGCAATGTCAGATGTGTTTGCTGCTGAGGTTGATGTGGTTGTTGATATCTATTATGATTTTGATGGTGTTGAGATTGTACAGAATGTGATTGTTGGCTTCTTCCAGTTGGAGAGTGGAGAACAGAACTAATATTGAGATTAAGAGGTGAGCTTATATTGAGATTCAAAGGAGAGCTGATATTTAGGTTCATGGGTGACATAATGTTTAAGTTGAGAGGTGACATTGCTTCCATAGAATCATGAGCTGTAAGAAAAAAAAATTGTAAGCACAAAGCTGGGTTAATAATTCATAAAAATTTTCAATGATACTTACTATCATTCATTTGCGTAGTGAGATTCATGACAACTAGGCGAGAATCATCTGGCTCAAGTTTAGGTAAAGCAGCTGATAATGTGACTAAAGGAGCTAAAGTGAGATCAGCTGCTGTCACGACTGGGTCTTCATTAACTGTTGTAAGACCAGACTTGTCTGTCAACATCTGCGGTTGTTGAAGATCCAAAGCCATTTCAGTAAGTAAAGAATCCTGACTGTCTTCTTTCATTGAATGGTTGGCATCTTCATCCTAGAAAAATAATAATTGAAATTCCAGATAAATCACTCCATTTATAATTGCGCACTTGCATCAGGTAAGTAATTTTATAAAATGCATTAACTTACAATATCTTGATTTACAAGATTCCCAGTATCCTCTACAATAAGTTCAAGAGGTGCTGAGTTGTTTATCAACTCAACAGTGCTATTTCCAGCAAGCGAAGCCTCATAAAGTCGAAGCTCCTCTGGGTGCATTCTTCTTTTATGAGATCGACAATTTGAGCCATTTGCAAAAGTACGAGAGCAAAATGGGCAGGTGTAAGGACGTCGTCCGGTGTGCAAAGTCTGATGACTCTAGTTAAAACAACGACACCAAAATGTGAACATCTTATGAAGGCAGATAAACATTCATATTTTGATGAAATTAGGCAGAAAGTACCTTTAAGTCTTTGGCTCTGCGGAAGGCTTTCCCACAAGTGGCACACTGATAGTTTTTAGCATCTCTGTGGACAACAAGATGCATGCGAAGTGTGCGCCTTGTTGAAAGTTGCAAAGGACAATGAGGGCAACTATAAGGAGTTTCTCGGTGCGTATCCATGTGAATTTTCAGTCTGTACTTAGTTTTAAACCTAAGAAATAGAGACATAAAAATATAGACAGCAAGACATGATATTCAATACACAGTTGTTCTACATAGAAAATGTGCATACTTTTTACTGCATTTTGTACACTCCCAAGGCTCTTCATCACTATGAATAGTTATATGTTCCTGCAAGGTGGCTTTTGATGAGAAAGTATTGCCACATAGGTGACAAACGAATGGTCGTTCGCCAAAATGTATAGCTTTGGTATGTGCAGTGACTGCTGATCGGCGACTAAATCTACAAATGAAGAGTAACTACATATAAAGACTATTACGAAAAGAAGGAAAAGAAAACAGTATTGAATAAGACTTACTTTTTATCACACACATGGCATGGATAGACTTGTTTTTCTTCACTGGGTAAATGAGTTTTTTCATGATTTTTTAATAATGTTTCGCAATGAAACCTTTTAGCACACTTACAACAAACATAGGGCTGTTGGTCTTTAGGCATGTGCGATACTGAGTGTGAATCAAGAAGAGCTTTTCTTACAAATGTTTTATCGCACTGGTCACACCTGAGGGGAAATTTAGAGAATTTGCATATAAGAATGATCGGAAAGCAATTTGACTGAGATGTTTGTTGGACGATTTCAAACAAAAATGATTTACTCACTTAAAAGTGGTTTTTAATTTATTCCTGCTTTTGACCTTTTTATCTGACATGTCTTCTAAAGTCCAATCAGAATCTTCACACAATTCTTCCTCAGTCCTATCATCAACAAACATTTCATCTAGCTCATAAATTTTGTGATGCTGCTCAGTAATAGGTTTACAAAATGACCTCTTGGGTTTGATATCATCTAAGGTTTTCCAGGCTCCATTAATTCTCATTCTTAATTCTTTAGAGTCCATGTCGCCTCCCAAATGGTCTGAGGTATCATCTTCCTCAGTTTCGTCACACATAAAATCATTCATATCAGAATCACTGAGAGAATTGACGGTATTAAGATTATTAGACAGATCATGAAGTTCACTGTGTGGAACAGTGCCATTAGATTTTAATGTTTCTTGTTTAATGTTGACAGAAAATTTAGGTTCCATCTTCTCTCCCACAAAACATCTTTCGGATGCCAGTTCTTGAACGGATTCCAACCTTGATGATTGTTCTTGACTGGCAAAAGAACTTTGGTGCAATTTATGTTCCTCCTTTGTCTTAAATCCGGTGTCTATGGCATTAGAAGAAAACAAATTTTACACAATGTCTGAAGTATACTAAGTAACATGTATTATAATTTAGATGAAAATATCTTACCACCTCCAGAATTCCTTAGTACTCTTTGGAAGGCCTCATCATTCTCCAACAGATTTTCAAACGATTCTTCATTGAAATCAGAGTCCAATGAATCAGCTAAAATTTCGTTTTCGTCAGGAAAAGCTTGCCTCAACTCAGGCATTGGTCTGATACGTCCATGCTTGTAAACACTGTTTAAACTTTCTTTTAATTGAGCTGCTTTATCATCGCATCCGTTTAACTTAGGAGAGGAGGAGATATCTTTCCTTGTATCAATGTCAACCTGTACAATAATTTTGTATTAGTAAAACAAAAAACTAAAGAATATTTATGATGTTGTAGTTTGAAACAGTAACCTTTTTAATTTTGCTTGGTGAGAGGTCTTTTCCTACTGAAACTCTCTTCTTAACATTTGGAGAAATGTTGGTAGATATACCATTATTTGTAGACTTTTCTTTACTAAACTGTAGAAGAACAAAATACAATGGCTTCATTCATAACATTTGAATAGGATGGTGATTCATCAAACACTCTCTAAAAAAATACCTCAAAGTCGGAGGGAAGGAACTCTTTCCTTATTTCGTACAGGCGATCATCCCCAACATCATCATCATCAATTAATTCACAAAGGGTGCTGAACATGACTTGAACTTGCAAACAGTTATTTACAAACTTATCAAAGTTGGACAGTTTTTCACAGCATTTGCTACAAAGAAGATACGACACCTTATCTTCTTCCAAAACCTATAACAAGACATAAAATTAAAAGAGAAATAAAGACAGTTCAAGGAAGAGGGTGAAGAAATACAAAACTTGCAAATACTTGAAATAAATAATGATATAATGTTGATTAGTAAATGAAGGCAGTAACAATTATCTACAGCATTTCAAAATTTTCCATACATTATGGTCATTCGTCATTCAATCACAGAAATAACTTGAAGTTCAGCTTCAACAGCTCAAAAACTCAACAGTTCATAATCAATAATTAGAAGTAGTATTAGTAGAATTAGGTATGACTCTAATAACAAACTTACAATATAAATATTCTGAAACAATAACTAAAACAAAGATTGACAGACATGGCAGAATACCTATACAGCACCGACATCTCGTTAAGGAAATGATCAAGTCCATCAGAATCTACTGGAATTTCGATAAGAGAGTGATTTCTAGTATATCTTTACCATCAATCGTGGGAGGGAACAATGTTATGATAAAACGTCGTAACTGTGATACACCGGCCCTAAACAGAACCTAACCTTACACAGTAGGCTAATATTTACGACGACACGTAACTTAAACTGGTCTTAAGTCAACAACAACGTAATAAAAGGGGTTCACATGTTACATTGTTGACGTCGTCCTGTCTTTGTTGAATATTAAGACAGAGTATTCATTTTGTAGCCGGAGCGGGAAGACTGCTAGAAACTTACCGATATAGACAGATATCTTCTTATCCTTTCACTCAAATAATTATCACCGCCACAAGGATTGATTATAGGGATCCCACCATTGGGATTAGCACATAGTCGGCACCAATTTTTCCACGGCGCAATCATGGTGATAAAATTAATTGTGACCATTTACTTTACATTCTCCTTAACAAAGTACGTATAAACAATCAAAACACCTACACAACAAAGCGAACGTGAACGCGAATGTGAATGTGTAGAAAGTTCTGTCAGAACTGAATCGAATATGAAAAATATGTGAGTCAAACTGAAGGTCCGATGGGTCCGATGACAAGAATCCCAAGAATCACGTCCAAATCCATCGCAAACAGATTCAGTCGAATCATATCGCAAAATTGCTATTGGTTGTGGAGAGAGGGAGAGAGAAGAGGAGAACCGAATCACCGAATCCAACCGATTCGTCCAAATGCGATTATGAATTCGGACTACCTCCGAGGACCGAGACTAAGAAAGGCGTAGCATGGCCATAATGTGGCCACGCTTGGCTCCAAGTCTAGGTGATCAGTAAAACCCTGAAAATGAATGGCCCCTCTCAACCACCCTACTGACGTCTACCTGCGACGTTTACTACGCTGCTCACTAGAGACTGCTAGGTAATGATCTTATTCCGGGACAGCGCGAACGCAGTCCCGACTCGCCTGGGAGAACCGCCTTGGTGAACACGGTTAACTCCTGCGCCAGATATTTTTCTTGAGACCGGAACCTCCCGACCTTCTCTTTGGGGATCATCAGGCCTTTCGGGGTGTTAAGATGTTGTTGTTTACATTTGTATGCATAAGTTCTTCAGCTTCACAGAGGGCACCAGTTGAACCGCCATACCAGATACCAGCCGAGAGTCTAATTCTAGACGATTGCCGGGACTCTTTGCGGCGCTGAAGTAACAAAACGGTGTTTTAAGATATTCCGTTCAAGCCTGCTCCCAGGCATTTCGTAACTGTAATTGACTTTTACCCGACGGATTTCCCTCCTTCCCTTGTAAAGCCCAACCCGAAATCTTATACTTCATCGCACGCCATCTGGCGGAGAGCGTAGGGAAGTCGGAGCGCTGCGGCAAAGCGAGGGGGTGGGAGGTGGAGTGGAGAGGGAGGGGGAGGGGTCTCCGGTGGTTCACAGCGCTGCCGCCAGAATGCAGCTCCGGTATCGCCTGGACAAGAACGAGGCACGGGGCAGAGGGGAAGTCCCAACAACTGCCCTGTCAAATGGGTTGTCTATACTCACAAAAAATACAGGAGAAAGAAAACTCTAACAAATGTACCGGCTCTGTCCTCCTCCCACTCCCGCACCGTTGCGACCTTCGCTATCTCCCTCCCTGTACACCCACTCAATGACTATCTGCGCCCGCACAAGTGCAGCAGTGGCCCGGCACCTGTAGGCTCAGTGCCGCCGGGGCAACAGAGGCGCCATGGCCAAACCCAAGCTCATGGAGGTCCACGACGAGGAGGGGGAGGGACAGGCCTCGCCGGACCAGGCCTCGCCGTCGAACGCAGACACGACGGTCCAGGTCGAGAACACCGAGGCCGTCGCCGCCCCCCACCCGGAGCATCCGGAGCAAGAGGACCCCCCGCCGGCCTACTGCCACGTCTTCCCCGAGGGGACGATCCCTGCCTCGCCAGTCTCCACCCTCAACGGCCTCTTCGGGCCCCACCTCACGCTGACGCCGGGTGCTCTCCCCGCCGTGTTGTCGTCGGCACGCTGTTCGCCGCCAAGGTCCCTGTCCCTGTCTCAGCCGGGGCCCCCCACCGGCCGCGGCCAGCTCTCCAGGCCACATTCCTCGGTGTTCGTCGTGGCGCCCTCGTCGGCTCCAGTGACACCCGTGTCCCATTACCCGGGCTTTGCTGTGGCCAGCAACTCGGCCCCTCAGACGCCCGAGTCCATGTCGGCCCCCTTCACCTCCACGATGACGCCGATGGCCTACTTCCCGGGCTTTGCCGTGGCGCAGCAGTCGCCAACGGACTGTTCCTCGTCGTCGTCTCTGCTCTCGTCTACCTCGGAGGCCCAGGTGTTCGTCGTGCCCTCGTCGCTGCTCTCCTCCTTCCCGCACGCCCTGTTTCAGGCTGCATCGGCGGCACCCCCCGCTGCTCAGGCGCCGGCCCCCGAGGCCCACCCCCGAGCCCACCCCTCACCCGATGAAGTGGGCGGTTCCCAGGAGCCTGAGCAGTGCGCCCCAGCCGGCGAGGACTGCGGCGCCTCCGACTGCACGCGCAGTACCGATGGGTGTGTACTGTGTACAGTGCTTTGCGTCCGCATTGCCCCCGGTCTCGAGTACGTCGACACGTGTTTATGACGGCACTGCTTTCTGTTTCAAGCGAGTCGACGCGAGAGTTCGACCCATCCGGGGCGAGGGCGGGGGCGACCGGAGGCGACGAACCGTTGGCCGGAGCGGGCGACGGGGGCTCCGCGGCTCCTGAACGGCGGGCTTCAACCCCGTCATCCGAACCCGAACCCTACCCGAGCAGCGCAGCGTCCACAACGTACGCCACGGCACAGGCAAGGGCAGCGAGGACGCCCACACCTGGTCACATGCAGATATGTAAGTTCTGTCCTTGCTCTTTTATGTTCATAAAGGGTTTATATTTGTCTATTTGAATTTTGTTTAAATGCACCCTTTTGCAGATCCAGTCAGCAAAAAAATTGTGAGGTCATATACCATGTACAGCACGCTAAACACATGGCAAAGAAGAGGTAAGCATCACACACTCACTCAGAAGTGCACTTGAAATGCAAGAGTGTGAATGTCGCTCACCTGCAGGTGAGCGACATTCCATTCGTACACTTAGAGGGGTAAACGTGTGAATATTTCTAGGAAAATTCACACCTTTAACCCCCTAAGTGTACGAATGGAATGTCGCTCACCTGCAGGTGAGCGACATTCACACACTTGCATTTCCAGTGTGCCCACTGCGTTCTCTGCCTTTGCAAGTCAAACCGATTCACTCATAATATTTTAATTCGTCGGCAGTGCTGGTCATCTCAATCGTCTGGGGAATACTCATCTTCGTTAGTGGCGCATTAGGAATTTACTTCATCGCTTTCCAACCAAGTGAGTAACTTACTTACAAAAATACTCTTCATACCGATGATGTGTGTCGTATCGTAAGTGCACTTGAAATGCAAGAGTGTGAATGTCGCTCACCTGCAGGTGAGCGACATTCACACACTTGCATTTCCAGTGTGTGAGCATTGGCGGCGCCGAGCGGGCTCGGTCTACAGTCGATTCGGGTGAAGCCGCTAGCTGCGGCCGTGGCGTTGACAGCCGCAGCTGCAATCAAAAACGTCGCTGCTTCTGCGCCTACCGCGTGTTAGCTGCCTCTAATCTACCGCGCGCTGTCTTTCGGTGCGCGCTAGACCGCGGCCCGGCCACCGGCCGTCAAAATGGTGAGAGGATGGGGGGGAGGGGGCGTTGTGCGTTAGACCATTCCCTCTCCATTTCGGCCTCCTATCTACGGCAAAGCCAAGGGCCTGAAGCCCCCCACGGGCCCCGCGCCCCGCGTCTGCAAGCTGCAAGCCACTCGGCATATCGGCGCCGTTCTTGGAATTGACATGGCCCCACATCCCACATTTTGAAGTGGACACTATTGAAATTTCAACATGATAAAAATTGTGTTGTAAATATTTGTGTAAAATAATCGTTGGGAAAGTAACAGGAAAGCAAACCAACAATTTTAAGTGGCACTTTTTAAAATTCGCGTTCAATTTTACAGGAATTTGAAATTTTTACTGGGATGGAGGGGATCTCACCTCATCTGGCCGTGCAGCTTCACTCCAACGGCTGAGCTCAAAGAGAACAGGAGAACCCGCATGTATCTATTAACTACTGCAGTTACCAATCACTTATGGCTGTGTCTCAAACGAGGGATATTTCCCAAATCTGTACTGAATGATATACAGCGAGCATCTTCACGCATTTGCCACACGACTTTCGGTGTGTGCCGCAGTCTTGCCAGATAAAATAGACGAACATTTTCCACGAATGCACCTGCATGTTGGGCGCAGGTGAACGAGTCTGAGTCGACGTGGTGTCTCCGCCTGTCCCTCACCTCGCCGCCGCCACCATGTCAGTTTGTTAGGCTGTCTTCCGAAACTCGTCAACCAAATTCAAATTCCGCATTGGAACTCGTAATCTTAAGAACCAAACCCAATTTCCCCCCAAAATAAACATTGCTTTAGCTCGCACCCTCCTCAGTGTGACGACTGCGATAAGATGCGCCCTGTATAAATAGACTGTTATATATTTGTATTTAAGCATAATAATTAAGAAAATAAAGTACATTTACGAAAACAGCTGAGTTAAATATCTCCGTCTTTCTGTCAGATGGAGTCTCAGCGCCCGCGAATGGCAGGGTAGACTAGCCCGCAATGCATCAGTGCATACGTAGAGGGCTAGTGGCCTACCTCACAGGCTGAGCCGTCATGTTGATGGTATAGTATTGAAATGTAGCTATTTTTGTGGATTTTCCTACGATAAGTCCTCTGTGTATAAATTAATCCTGATACAGTACGATTGTTTCAATATGTATTTCAAAGTTTTTTAAAAATCTAATGATGAAACTTACATTAACATTTCAAAATTTTACAAAATTTCCAAAGTGGGGTATTGAGCACAAGTTTAATAATAATAAAAAAGGAAATAAAAAATCCATGATGGACTTGGATAAAACACAAGAAATGGTTCGTTACCAACAAGGCAATAGACAATGCCTGTCACTAAATAATACAACATAAAAAATTCTGAAGGAGCTGGGGCATTTTGCCAAGTTACATGAACTTTCTTAGACTACATTTCCCCAGACCAAAAGTATACTAGAAGAACAAAGTAAAATATCTGAGATCTTTTGGGTCAATTTGTTTCTTACATCCTTAGACCACTTACGTCAGAGCGGGCTTTTTTGGGAGAATTTTCTCCTGCGGAATCCTCTGAACTGCTTAAGAAATGTTTTGTTCCCTTGTTTGGCCTAGAATTGACATTGTTAGAAGTATCCATCTCTTCATCAGAACTGATTGCTGCTCTCTTCTGGGAACTGTTCATAATAGATGACTCTTTCAACGGAGAACTTCTTGCCTGCTGGAACTTCACACTTGAACTGCGAGATACTTCTGACTCCGATTCAGAATCTGATGTTATAACTGACTGTCTAACTCTTTGGGAGTTTTGCGAGGCAGATGGTGCAGAACTCTCATTTTCAGAATCAGAATCAATAACTGCTCTACGCTGAATTTGAGTACTGGTGTGGGGCGCACTTTCAAAATCACTGTCAGAGTCCGAGTCTAAATTAATTGATGTTCCTGATTTTTGGTTTGTTCTTTCTTCTTTGTTTTGAGACACTGACTCCTCATTGTCTGAGTCATCTGATTTTGCAATTTTGAAACGCTTTCTTTTTTCTTTCTGTGCTTTTGGCTTTTCAGCAGAACGTGCTGGATTTGACTTCAGTAGACTATCAAATGCAGCTTCAGTTTTATCTAAAATTAAAATTAAATACATGAGAAAGTTGAATGTTTTTGAAGAGCAAAAATAAACTTCACAAGGTAAAAGAAGATCTACATTACCATTATTTGATTGAGCTCGACTAGTTGCAGTAATCCTTCTCAACGCACTGAACTCGTCCTCGCTATCAGAAGAGTCTCCATTGATTTGGTCATTTTCAGACACAGTTTTCTGGTTCTGATCTGTAAATAGAAGGGAAAAATTTTAATAAAGAAATAAATAAAACATGCCTAAAAACAAAAATGGTTCTATTTTCATACCTGAGACTTGTTCCATTGTAAGTGTGCCATCAAGAGCACTTTGAATGTTTTCAGCCTTTTGTCTCATTTCCGGAGCTTTCATGTCTCCTGGAATACGCCAGTAAGATTCCTGGATAGAAAAATTAGACATATGATTTAATTTTAATTAACTACAGAAAGTTGAAGACATTATTTATGATGTTACAAAATCTGCAAGATTACCTGCTCATCGAATGGGGGAAGAACACCTAGTGCCTGCAAAAGTCGCTGGAAAATGGGACTGTCCATTGCTGAATCTGCATCCTCTCCCACTGGCACCAATGGTACACCATCAACATCTTCAGATGATGGATCCTTTTCTAAATCTTCTGCAGCTTCATCAAAAGAGTCTTTGAGCCACTGCAAACCACCAGAAAAACCTTGAAAAAAAAAAGGGGGAGAACACATTAATTTTAAAGAAACAAAACCAATTTTTAGAAGAGGTATGCACTAAAATTTTCTAACAGAACTTACCAGAGCTGACAACTTGTAAAAGCATTGCAGTAACTTGGCCTGGTGGAGCACGTCCAGTCTTTCCTCTTCTTGCATTTTTTAAAGCCATTCTATCTCTTTCAGACTTATCCTTCTTTGATGCTTTTACATTGTTTCCACTAGGTTCATCATCATCTGTGTCAGTGGCAGTATCTAACAACTCACTATCATCAAATGCTGGAGCGCCTCTTCTGAGATTGCCAGATTTTGATTTCCCTCCCTTCTTGCGCAACTCCTTACGATCATTAACAAGTCCTAATTCTAAAAGCTTGTCAATCACACGAACTTTGGGCCTTTTCACAGTCAATCGAGTCAATATGTCATCCAACGTACCTACAAGGGGGGTAAAAAAGGCAAATTAAAAATATGAAAGTAAAAAAATATAAACAAACACATACTGAATTAATTATACTGAAACACTTACTGCCAGAATCTCGGAATTGATCATATAGTTCCTTGAGTTCATTAATCTCCTGTTCTCCCCACTCTTTAGGTGGTTTGTTTTTCTAAAGGTAACAGAAGTTCAAAAAATTACAATAATGAACAATGATAGATGTAGACCAAGGACAAAAAAATAAAAAAAATTCTTACAGTTTTTGGTACAATTAAAAATAGTTCTTTTAACTTCTTCTTGACACCGGCAGCAGTACGGTCTTGGTTGATTAGTCTCCTCAAAATCCAATCAACAACATCTGGAGAAAGCAAAATTTTTAAATCATAGATTGAAGTAGTTGTAAATAAAAAAAACATTTCATTTAGATAAAAATAAAAACTTACCACCACCCGGCTGATCCCTTTCAAATTCTGCAAACAGAACACGCAACTCATCTTCCTCTTCCTCTTTCCAAGACTTCTTTTCAGCTGTTGACCTAGAAAATTGCATAATTTGAATTTAGATAAAACATTAAAATTTATAAATACACTTGCTTCACCTGAGAAATCAATGACAACTTACTTTTCCTTGTAACTTCCGTAGCCCTCCTCAATCTCATAGGCATCTCTAGACGTCTTCCAGAAAAGCAGCTCTACATATATGAGGGGATTCTGAGTGGCCAGCTCCACAAACTTTTTCACAACATACTGGGCAAGTTTTTGCAGTTCCTGAAACGAATCAAAACGTATGACAATGATGGTCTTCATACAATACAGTAGCTGCAGAGTGGAGGGTGGGTTGGCTACCTTGTGTTGAGGCAACGGCGACTTGAAGATGCGCTGGAAGGAGCGGAAGAGCGAGGCCTGGAACAGCATGCCCGGCATCTTGGCCTCCCAGGCGATGCGGTGGAGAAGCTTGGCCAAGCAGTGGTTGGTGAACACGGAGTTCTTCTCAAACGTCTGCAGCAGGTAGCCCGCCGCCTGCACCGCCCGCGAGTGCACCATCCTGCAGGCAGAGAGGGGGCCGATACAGTCTCATACAAAGACACACACTCATGGTCGGAGGCGCTCCGAACCACAATAGTGCAGAAATAACCTCGCGAAATCCTCAATAGCGCCCACCGAGCGTCGTGCGGACCGAACCGAGGCCTTCCCCCTAAAGGCACAGCACCATCTGCATCTGCACCACCTACAACTGCACCACCTGCCAGTGGGTGCTCTCCTTGTCCGCATGCGCGACACCATTTCTGACAGTGCGCCGAAAACCCTTTCCCCTTGGGAATCAGTGCGGCCAACTAATTGATTAATTAATTAATTAGCGTGAAGCGCACTGGCCAGACGGGCTGCTAAAGGGGCGTAGAGTGGCGGGGTGGGGTGGGGTGGGGTGTGGCGGGGCGGGGTAGCGGGGCTCTGCAGGGCGGCGCTGGGCGTGCTCCGCATTCATGCTAAACTGAGTGCACGTCAAAGCTAATATACACTGTGAAGCAGAGCGGAGCAGGGCGCACGGACCACCGCGTCCAGCCCGACCCGTGAGGGACGAAGGGAGGGGGTTCACTTGTACCGCCGAGCGAAAGACAAGGGCTGCACTACGAAGTGATGGGGGGTGGAGGGAGGGAGGGGACGAGCGGAAGGATTATTTGATTTAATTTATTAACACCGCGCGAGGGCCAGCCAGCCCTATTTAAATTCATTACATTCAAAATAGTTTGTTCTGGCCCCAGCAGCAGCCAGCCGGAGCCGAGTGCGGGCGAGAGGAAGGGGAGGTGCAGGGAGGGAGAGGAGGGTAAGCAATGGAGGGTGAGACAGGACGGGGTGGTGAGGCTGCTGGCGGTACACAGAGGCTCCCCGTCGCTATCTCTATAACTAACTTACGCGCCGCGGTACTCACCCCCCTCCAACCACTCCCCACAGCCCAAGCAGCCCCTGCAGCAGCGGTACAACGCCGGGCCGCAATTGATTCAGGGGACTGGCGGGTGAAGGACTGCGCGACGTCCGGCTGCACCTCACCCGACCATGAGGTCACGCGATCCTACCGTGCTCGAAACGGTGAATCGTGGTCAAGCGGGTGGAAAAGCTTCTTTCCGGTCGCTTTCATTTCAAGG